AATCACTTAGATTTATATATCATTGCCAAATCACTTAGATTCCCTGTAACATGAAAATTCTCGTATCTATACCAATCATGCCCATTTTATTTTTACGTTATTGTCAATTACAATTGTGTAGCCCAGACCATCCATCTCATTGTAAATTTATTTTATTCTATGTATTCAGGTGGTTGTTTAGATTAACAATTTGGATTGTTGGGCTGGCATGTTCTCTTTCTAGAGAACTCCCTCTAATATTTCTTGCAGGGCTAGTCTGGCAGTTGCATATTCAATCTGTATACTTCAAATCATTAAAGAAACTAGATGATATGAAGAAGCATTCAGTATTAGGATTGGAAGAAGGCTTATTAACAACCTGTGATATGCTGATGACACAACCTTGCTTGCAGAGAGTAAACACTGGAAGCAGTTGCTGATGAAGATCAAGGATTGCAGGCTTTAGTATGGTTAAAACTCAATATAAAGAAAAAAATCCTCACAACTGAAATAGGTAGCATCATAATAAATGAAGAAAAGACAGAACTTGTCAATGATTTCATCAGGCTTGGATACACAATCATTAGCAGTCAAGAGACGGAACAACACATTGCATTAGGTAAATTTGCTACACAAGACCTCTTCACAGTGTTGAAAAGCAAGGATGTTATTTTGAGGACTAAGGTGCATATGACACAAGCCATGGTATTTTCAACTGTCTCATATGCATGTGAAAATTGGACATTGAATAAAGAAGACTTAAGATAAATCAATGCATTTGAATTATGATTTTGGCAAAGAATATAGAAAGTACCATGGACTGACAAACAAATCTGTCCTGGAAGAAGTACAGCCAAATGCTCCTTAAAGGCAAGGATGGCAAGACTACTTCTCACATAGTTTGGATATGTTGCCAGAAGAGACCAATTCCTGGAGAAGGACACAATGCTTGGTAAAGTAAAAGAGCAAAAACAGAGGAAGGCCCTGAATGAGATGTATTGGCACAGGGACTGCAACAATGAGCTCAAATGTAAGAACAATTGTGCGGATGGCAGTGCTGGCCAGTGTTTCCTTCTGTTCTATATAGGGTAGCTTTGAATTGGAACTGACTTGCTGGCACCTAACAATACTTTTGTAGCAATACTCTGATTTAACCTTCAATCATTCACACATACACTCACTGTTATCTAGTGGAGGCTGACTCACAGTGGCGCTACAGGGAGTTAGAACTGTCCTTGCAGTTAGCAACTCAGTGTTGCTGCCAGGGCTCCTCATTAACCTTGAATAAAACTAAAATCTCACTGCCTCCAAGTCAATGCCGACTCATAGTGCCCCTACAGGACAGAGTAGAACTGCCCCTGTGAGTTTCTGAGGCTGTAACACTCGATGGGAGCAGACAGCCTGTCTTTCTCTTGCCAGAGTGACTGGTGGTTTCAAACTTATGACCAAACACATAACCACTATGCCACTAAGGCTCCTCATTAATCTTGAATATACATCTTAGGGAAAATCCTAAGGGTTGTATATTTAGGAGGATAGGGAGGAGAGCTAGTATCTGTGTTCCAATTCAGTAAAGGAAGTTTTGTAAAGAAGATTATTTTTTTTAAGTATTCTATGGCCGAGCAGGAAAGCCTATCTAGAACCCAGGTGAGTCATAATTAAATGCCCATGCTCTTTACTCTGAATATAATTTGAATGTCTTAAATTAAAAACTGAACATCCCAACTTGTTTAAAATTTTTTTCCTGTCTTTTCTTTTAAATCATTTTATTAGGGGCTCATACAACTCTTATCACAATCCATACATACATCAATTGTGTAAAGCACATTTGTACAT